TTTCTTTCATCAAATAAACTTATATTAAGCCTATCTTATATATGCGTCGAAAAACCCGCTTGGTTATGTTTTATCGGGCCCTCAACGAGCGGTATAAATTGAGAGACGCTCTCCCTTCCTTCGCTGCACTGTCTTTGTGTTCTACGTAGGTGTTTCACGAGATGAACGAGAGAGAGAGAGAGAGAGTTGGCTTTTTCCCGTCGCCCAAGGGCTCCCGCCCCAAATATCTACAAGGGGGTATACAGGACACTCCTCATTTGCATTAAACAGGACACGGCCGCACGGGATCATACCTTGGTGGAGTGGTTTATTTAGCGACTCCTCCCCCCTCCCCCCCCCCCCCCCCCCCCCCCATTTTCGCGCCGCCAGAGCACGTAACCAAGTGACTCCTCAGAATGCGGTGAGGTTGATGGGGGGAGGGGAGGGGGGCGGCGGTCTCTGGTGTGAAGACGGTACTGCTGTTGCCGTCACACGCGTTTCCGCGGTTCTTCGTCGTCTACATTTTTGATATCACGCGACACCGAGCGTAGAGGATTACTTTGAGTGCTTGATCATTTTCCTAGTCGCCATAAAAACATCGAGGATGGGAGGGGGACCGCTGTGTCATAAATAATGCTTTCATTACAAAGTAACGTTTAAGGGTTGGTGAAAAGGTCTACAAACGAAAGAAGTCTATGAACGTGCTTCCTGAGTAGGTTGTTATGTGCGTTCTATCAGTGAACTTTGCCTGCTGAGCAGTCGGCTGTGAATGTTCGTCACTTATTCAGTGTGCAAAAAAGGTATTGTTTTCAAGCATAAATTGGCAAAATAAACTTTATAAACAGAAAAAAAACGAGCTTTCACTGAAATTCCAAAAATGCTGCGTAATTGAAGAAACAAAAAACGCGAGTAAATTTTTCGCTAATGTTCTTGTTCTGAGCTGTATCCATTCAGGTACTGAAGAATAAATTAATTTGTGTTGCTTAGAAAAAGGAATAGAAATGGGACACCCAGTTATTTCTTCATGGTAGAAAATAAACCATCAACACATTGGGAATTATCGTGCCATCTTAATAATCCTGAAGAATGAAGCCAACAAGCGAAATATTTTATATTACGTGTTCTCGAGTGCCCCTACGTTAAGCACGCTACAATTTACTTAATATTGATAATAAAGTGGTGAAATGAGCCAGTGGGAACACGTTATACATGATGGGGAAAACAACTAAAAAAACGCACTCTACAAAAAAGAACAGACACGACAGGGCAATGTTGTCGTGTTTGTTCTTTTTCGGAGTCCATGATCTCTGGGTTGTTTTCCCCATCATATTAATAGTTTCTTATGTAACATTACATTGCTGCACCAGGAGAACTAGCCTCTGATGTGGGCAAAAAATATTCCACTTAATAAGCCTGCCCTATGAGGAGTGATTACGACCAAACACACTCATCGAAACACCATGCACCCATTTACTGATTAATGCATCTGGCAGCTTCGAAGCCGGTCTAAAAATTAAAGAACAAGAACTTTTTAATCCAGTACAATTGAGGGCGAACCAAGTTCCTGATCTCGGAGATGGATAAATTTATCGTACATTCAAAGTTGGTCCCACCAAAGTATAACTGAAAATGGCCATCAAACTCGTCTTGCGTATACGTACCTGCTAAATTAATAACAACTCATTATACATGGGTACTGTTTAGAAATCTACAAACAGCCAGCAACGCCTCGGACGTGCAGCGCGCACGCGTTTGACACGAAATCACGCCGGTAGTCAAAGAACAACACTGGCATTGGCAACCGACCAAATAAGAACGGAAGGTCGCCGACGCCGAGACACGTCTGCTCGTTAACACTCAACAAATCTTGTCAGCGCCGAGGCCACTGCAGAAGTAGGAAAAGTGTTTACGATTGCACCAAGAATCAATTAACAGACATCCCGCAATTTAGAGACGGGTAGCTCTAATTGCAGTAATTAACACATGTTTCGCAACGAATAACCAGGTCATAAATCACCTGTTGACAGCGGTAATCACTGCTGCAATTAAGTCATGATAACATAACACCTGCCGGGCATCGAGAGCGTCAGCCGGAGAACGCGGGGCTGCTGCCAGGCGGTGGATACGAGTTGCCCTCGTGGTAGGGGGGAGGGGGGGGGGGGTGTAGTACTTCTTGTTGATGATGATTGGGGTTTATTGGCGCAAGAGCGACTGTGGCCATATTGCGCCAAGAAAGTTAATTTAAAAAGCCTAGCATGCAGTTATGTCTAAACTTACTTGTCTACTTATATCAGATGCAAAAAGCCAATTGCATGTAGGAAAACTAAAACGCGAGCAAATGGTACCAAAGATCTATCTCCAAGCAAAAAATAAGGATGAAATGGAAGGTGGTTTTTGAAAAGTTCAGGAAAATATTTTCGACGTTGATGATCGAGAAATCTACAATTCCAAAGGATGTGGAGGACGGTTAACACTTTCCCACACTTTTCGCAGAGCTTTACATCTTCACCGCAGAGCAAGTGCAGGTGTGTCAATCGAGAATGACCGATTCTCAAGCGGCACAAAAGGACTTCCGAACGGCGGTCCTTATGGGAGGAACTCTCCCATACTTCTAAGTTGGGCTTAATAATGTGGAGTTTGTTATCGATCTGTGTCTCCCAGTCCAGCTGCCATAACTTAATAATTGACTTGTTTAAGGCTGGCTTGAGGTCTTGGTGTGGAAGGCCAAAAGACGTTTCCGTGTAGTTTTTTGCACTAAGTGCAAGGTGGTCTGCATTCTCGTTACCAGGAATGCCCACATGACTGGGCACCCAGCAAAATTTTATAAGTTGTCCTAGATGGAAAGCTTTGTTTATCTGAAAACGAACCTGTTGCACAAGGGCGTTCTTGCTGTCTGCTAAAAATGAAATAGCTAAGAGAACACTTTGGGAATCAACAAAATAGAACCGCTTTGTTAATGTTATTTTTTAGAATATATTCAACAGCTATCAGGATACCATACAATTCAGCAGCAAAAATAGTTGCTAGAGGGTTGAGTTGCCTGACTTCACTGAAAGCGAGCAAACAAACTGCACAGCCTACGCAAGTCAATGTTTTCGAGCCATCAGTGTAAAAGTGGAGATAGTCACTATATTTCTGCTCTAGCTCTGCGAACTCCCGCAAAAGAACGCAAGGAGGAACAACTTTTTTGCTGTACCTTGATAGGGACCAATCACAAAAGATTGGCACCAAGTCCCAAGGAGCAACCCTATAGGCCTGTCTCAACAAAGGAGGCTCATCAAAAGAAAGGTGCAGCGACTTTGCCATGCTCTCAGCCCGAAAGCTCAGGGGCCGAACAATACTGGGCTTATTCTCAAAAAGGCGCAGTGATGCAGGGGTCTGCAGAGCGGAGAACGAAGGGTGGTGCGGATCACTATAAACTTTGTAGACATAACCGAGACTAAGATATTGTCTGCGTCGCTCAAGCGACATCTGATGCGTTTCAGCATAGAGACTCAGCACGGGCGACGTGCGAAAAGCACCTTTGGCTAGACGCAGCCCCAAGTGATGGATTGGGTCTAACATCTTCAAAGCAGATGGTCGTGCCGACGCATATACCGGTGCACTGTAATCCAACCGGGACCGCACTAGAGAGTTATAAATTCGCAGCAGACATCGTCTGTCAGACCCCCAAGTTGTGTGTGACAGCACACAACTTGGGGGTCTGACAATTACCACACCTAGGAACTTATGCGCCTCCTTTACAGTAATGGCATGATTATTCAGATGCAAGGTAGGATATGGTGATAACCCTCGACGAAGTGAAAAAAGAACACATATGGTTTTGTCAGGGGAAAAACGAAACCCATTTTCGGCTGCCCACTTGCTCATCCTGTTGATTGTCACTTGCAGTTGACGTTCGCAACTACGCAGATAGCAAGAAGAAACTGAAATTTGCACATCATCCACATAGAGAGAATAAGATACTGTCGGTGGTATCACCTTAGCCAGGCTATTGATTTTAACAGCAAAAAGTGTGACACTCAGCACCCCTCCCTGAGGGACACCACATTCTTGAGAAAACACGTCCGATAAGGTGGAGCCCAGACGCACTTGGAAGGTACGTCCCATCAAGAAGTTTTGTATACATCGCAACATGCGGCCCTGAACACCGTAAGCATAGAGATCCCGTAGGACCCATAGCGCCAGGTCGTGTCGTACGCCTTTTGCAGATCAAAGAACACAGAGAGACAGAACTGGCGGTGTACAAATGCCTCCCGAATAGAGGTTTCAAGGCGGACTAAGTGGTCAAGGGTGGAACGTCCAGCCCGAAAACCACATTGAATATTGTCAAGCACATTCTCGGTCTCCAGGAAATGAACGAGACGTCGATTAATCATTCTTTCGTAGGTTTTTCCCAAGCAGCTTGTGAGTGCAATGGGGCGGTAGCTAGTTGGTTGAGAAGAATCCTCACCAGGCTTCAGAAGAGCGATTACATGTGCTCTTTTCCAAATCTCGGGGAATGCAGAGCAGTGCCATAATGAGTTATAAAAGGTCAGCAAACTGCCTAGAGAATCAGGTGACAGGTGCCTTAGCATCTCATAATGAATATTGTCTGGTCCAGGAGCAGACTGCTTCTTTACACTGAGAGCTACTTCGAGCTCGGAGAATGTAAAAGGCCTGTTGTACGGAGCGTCACGAGCACCAGACAGAATGATCGGCTGTTTCTCTGCTGTCGAACTAAACTTTTTAAATGCTTCACTGCAGTTGCGTAAACTAGAAACGTCTTGGAAATGTTCCCCAAGAACATTCGCTTGATCTTTCAGGGACGTTGAAGATGATGCAGGGAAAAGGGGAATTCTGAAGGGTAAGTAGTCACCCCTAACCTTTCTAAGCCGATCCCACGCTTCTTTTGCAGGTACAAAACTACTCAAGGACGTCAAATACTTCCTCCAGGAGCTTCCCTTCGCCTGGCGTCTTGTCCAGCGAGCTTTATTTAGCTCTTCTTTTCTTAAACTTCCCGTCCTGCGTCATTCTGCGGAATGACGCAGGACGGGAAGGACGTGTCCGCCTGCGCTCCGCAAAAAGACGTATGTGGCTCGTGCGAGGCTCGCTTCTACGCGAAGCAGCAGTTTCTTGTCTGCTCGGCAGGTTGCAATCGCCGTTTTCATTGTAAGTGCTTGAACGTCACCCATGAAGAGTACAATTTCTACATGAAGAGTGGCACGAGCGCTTTCAAGTGCTCGGGCTGCACCCGAAGGAGTAGTGCGTCACCGAGGAATGACGCCGCTGCTGGTATCGGAGGTGTGGTTCCCGCTCCTGTGGCGTTCGTCGAACCATCGAATGTGACGCTCGATGACGGCTCCGTTCCGCCCGCTCTGCTACGCCTCATCGAAAGCCTGTCAAGCAAATTGGACATCGTTACGGCAGAACTCAAGTGCCTTAGGGCGGACAACAACAGCCTTCGCTCCGAAGTGCTTCATCTCCGTAAAAGTGTCCATGAACGAATGCCTCTTCCGTCTTCTTCATCAACCATGTACGCGTCCGTCGCAGCGCTGCCGCCTGCTGCACCAACGTCAGTGTTGAGACCTCGAGCTGCAGAATCGCTCCTCAACACAGTTCCAGGGACGAATCTGGGTGGGGCTGGCTTGGAATCGAGTCCCTCAAGCGGTGCGAGAGCTGCGGGTGAGAAGGACGCTGTGGACGACGGCTACACGACGGTGGGGCCCCGGCGGCGAACCAAGCCGTCAGCTGGAACGGCTAAACCAAGTAAGGTGACCGCTGTCCCACGGAAGAATCGTCGTTTGGCACTTTTTGTATCTAGGCTAGATCCGGATACGAGCGTGGACGATGTTCTTGCACTTATCGAACCTCTTGTAGCGGGGAGGCAGGTCCTGTGTTCAAAAATGTTTACACGATTTGACACATACTCTTCGTTCCACATCTCGGGTGACGAGTCAGTTTTCGACGCAATTAACAAATCCGAGGTGTGGCCTGAAGGTAGCATTTTTCATCAGTTCTTTGGTCGACTGGACAAGTCTCGTGTTCATACTGATGACGGAGTAGAAAACGTTCATGACGCACAAACTTAGCGTGTTTTACCAGAATGTACGAGGCCTGAGGACTAAGGCCGACGAGTTTTTGTACAATTCAACTAATTCAAGTCATGATATTATATGTATTACTGAAACCTGGCTTTGTGATGGTATATCAGTCTCTAGTTACTTTAACCCCAGCTACACGGTCTATCGGAGGGATAGAGACTACTTGAGTACGGGGCAAACGATGGGAGGGGGCGTTTTAATTGCAACTAAAGTTTCCGTGGCATCGCATAGGCGGTTTGATCTTGGAACTTATTCAGAATGTGTTTGGATCGAGATTAAGGCAAGTGACGGATTTAATTACCTGATAGGAACGTACTATTTTCCCCCGTTATTTGATGAAACCACTTTTATTGAACATTTTGAATCTCTCGGAAAGCAAATCGATTTTGACAAGTTTCGTGTTCAGATATACGGAGATTTTAATCTTCCGGGTGTAGAGTGGTCATTGCAAGCTTTAAACAATAATACGTTAACAGCTAGAAAGGCCTTTTCTTTGTTGTCTTTTATTAACTTGAGTGGTCTAGAACAATTAAATTCAATACCGAATTGCGCAGGTAATATCTTAGATCTCGTTCTTTCAAATGTCCACATTCTAAGCTTATGTCTGGCTTCCGATCCTTTGGTACAAGTTGATAAGTTTCATCCACCTTTAATAGTCCAGTTATCTCTTCCGTGGAAGTCGCGGATATCGTCAAAACCATTAGCTTACAGTTTTTTAAAAGGATATTACCTTGGCTTGTATAAATATATTGAAACTTTCGACTGGTCTAACGTTCTCGCCATGTCTGATGTCGATCGTGCTACCGAGACTCTAACGACAATTGTAAAAGATGCCATCGACACTTTTGTACCGAAGCGTTCAACAAGGCCATCCAAATATCCTGAATGGTTTTCCAGGGATTTAAAATGTTATTTGGTCAAGAAAGAACATTTCCACCGTCTTTATAAAAAATGCGGCTCTTCACTTATGTACACCAAATTCAGTTTATTTCGGGCCTTGGCGAAGAAACTGTTCAAGCGCGATAAACGCATGCATCTTGACAGCGTAGAAAATAGCTTGTTTCGCCGCCCGAAGACTTTCTGGAAGTTCACGAAGCAACATACACGTGACGTTAGTCCTATCATCTGCTTACGTGCCTGTTCAGATAACGCCCCGGGTTATGTTTCATCACCTCATGAAGTTGCAGATGTTTTCGCTAATTATTTTGCCAAATGTTTCTCTGATAATCAGCAATCCGTTCTACCGGAGGATAAGGAGCTGATTTGTCACGATTTTTTGAGTTCTATAAGAGTGGACTCTCTTGATATTGCCGAGGCGATAAGAAAGTTAAAACCGAAGTTTTCTTCTGGTGTAGATGGTGTACCAGGTTTTGTTATCAAAGGTTGCGGTCAGTTGTTCATTCCTATTTTGAAGCACATTTTTAATATGTCACTCAGTTCAGGCGTTTTCCCTTCGCTCTGGAAAAAAGCAGTTGTTGTTCCTATCTTAAAAGGCGGTGACGCATCTGTAGTTGCGAACTACCGTCCAGTTTCTCTGCTTTGTGCTTTTTCCAAGGTTTTTGAGATTGTTGTGCATAGCAGGATGACTTTTTATTTCCGTCAAAAAATAACGCCCTTGCAGCACGGTTTTTTAAAGGGTAGGTCTGTGGAAACAAATTTGTGTACCTTTTTAGATTACTGTGTGCCGTTTGTTTTAAACAGAGAACAAGTAGATGCAATATACTTTGATTTGTCAAAAGCCTTCGATAAAGTGAGTCACGTGTTGCTTTTGTCCAAGTTGCATCTGTATGGTGTCTGTACAGAATTGTGTAACTGGTTTAAGAGTTATTTGTCTTTTCGATCAAATAGTGTTCGGGTCGCTGACAGTTATTCCAAAGAGTTTTTTTCAACATCAGGCGTGCCCCAGGGTTCAATTTTGGGTCCTCTACTGTTTTCAATTTTTATAAATGATATAGCGTCATGTGTAAAGAACGTTGAACTGCTTTTGTTTGCTGACGATATCAAGTTGTTTAAGAGTGTTCACTCTCATTTAGATTGTGATCTGATACAACATGATGTGTCTAATATAGCACAGTGGTGTAAACAAAATCAGTTATTTCTTAATCCTTTAAAAACAAAAGTGATATCTTTGTGCAGACGCCGCGCGATCATAAATAACACTTATCATCTTGAGGGAAATCCGATTGAACGAGTGTCAATTGTAAGGAATCTTGGTGTGTTAATTGACTGCGGATTAACTTTTAAAAATCATGTCTCTTTTGTTGTCAGCTCTGCAATGAAAGTTCTAGGAGTTATATCGCGTTTGACCAAGCATTTTAGAAAGCCCCATTGTTCAATACATCTTTTTCAATCCTTAGTGGTTTCAAGGCTTGAGTTTGCTTCTGTGATTTGGAATTCAATTTCTGTAACACAGGCTTTGATCATAGAACGTGTGCAAAAAGATTTGTTCGAATTGTTTATGATAGATGGATTGGACGACGCGTGTATTATGACTATGAATGCTTACTGAATAGATTTTCGCTGAAGCTTTTATCACACAGAAGAACAGTCCTTGACTTGGTATTCCTGCATAAGATCATTAATGGTGCCATTGATTCTTCATGGCTTATTAGTAAAATCCATTTCCATGTTCCTTTCCGTGCGACGAGACAGCTCACCTGTTTTGATATTTGCTCACCATGCCGTGTGTCACCTCTTTCTCGTTTACAGACATTGTATAACAGCATTGTGCCACCTCAAGTTGACATCACCACACCCCTGCCTACATTTCGCTGTCAGTTGGACGAACTTTTCGTCACTTCATAGCGCGTCAGTGTATATGCATATCTATTTCTTTTTAATGAGTAGGATTTTTGTTTAAGAGTTTTATTGTACGAGTTGGTGTACCTAAGAGAAGGCCGCTCGGCCGTTTTAGGGCACCCGAAAAATAAAGATTATTATTATTATAAACTCAAGTAGGTTCCTAGAAGTTGAATATCTACGAAAGATGCACCAAGCTTTGTTCTGGGACTTTCGTGTTGTTTCACAGTCATCATTCCACCAAGGCTTGCATCTTTTAGGAAGACGACCAGACGTTTGAGGAATACTCCGTGTGGCAGCGCTTATTATAACCTCTGTGACATGCAGTGTTGCTTCCTCTGGATTCATGTTCGAGATTATAGAAGAATCGATTAGTGCCTCCAATCGAAAGATGGACCAATCTGCGTTGTCTACCTTTCAACGGGGAATTCGCGTTAAAAGAGTCGGAATAGAGACTGTACTCTCTAAAACGATAGGGAAGTGATCGCTCCCAAAAGGAATATTAAAAACCTTCCATGAAAAGCATGGAAGTAATGAAGGTGAAGTAATAGAAAGGTCAAAAGATGTAAATGAATTGTGAGCAGAACTGAAAAAAGTAGGTTCTCTCCCGTTAAAAATGCACAAGTTAGATGATAGTAAAAACCGCTCGATTACTCGGCCTCGAGAATCGAGGCGAGTACTGCCCCACATAGGGTGATGGGCATTAAAATCTCCTAAAATTGAGAAGGGTTGAGGGAGTTGCCGTACAAGCCCTTGGAGTTCGTGAAGTTGCAATGGAATGTTTGGTGGCAAATAAATGGAAACAATTGTTATGAGGCGGTCTAAAAGAAGGCGTACCGCTACAGCTTCGAGCGGTGTGCGAAGAGGAACCTCCGAGCAGGCAACCCCACTCTGCACGACCACTGCTACACCGCCAAAACTGGAGTTCAAACGGTCTTTGCGGAACACTTGATGATGTTGCAAAATTTGTGTGTGATGTGTTTGAAGATGAGTTTCTTGTAAAGAGAGGACAATAGGCCGAAGCTCATCCATAAAATAATTAACATCATCGATGCTGGGTAAGAGACCTCGACAGTACCATTGCATAAAATGCAAGTTTCTCATTTAGGTAAAAAAGTATACGAATAAATTAATAAAAAGGGAGAGAGAAAAAGAAAATTAATACTCGCGATTAAAGGGGTGAATTGGTATAATCTATTTGGGAGCAGTCACAGGTTTCTTCCCTTTTGATTTACATTTTGAGGTTTGCCACTCCATGTCTTCATGGTCGGACGCAGGAGTAGCCGGATCGGTAGCCTCGTCTATCGCCTCTACCTCCTCGGACGAGACTTTTCCTAGAGTTTTGGGTAGGTCCGCAGCACGGGGTGGAAAAACCCGTCCACGATCACCTCCCACTGAAGAGGCAGGGGAGATACTGGGCGCGATATTGCCCGAGTCTCTCTGTTCCTGCCCCTGAGATCCTGAAGGGGCAGCCCGATGCTGCCCTTTGGATGAGGAGGACCTCTCCAGCGAGTTTTGGCGAGAGTGCCGCTCCTCACCAGAGGAAGTCCTCAAATCACGGACAGGCATTGCCTGCCCATTCTGACTCCGGGAGTCAGCTGGTGTGCTTCCCCCCGAAGCTGGAGTTTTCTTGGGTGAGGGAGTCCTCTTCCGAAAGGAGGAGCGAGGGGCTCGCTCGCTCTCTTTCGAGGAGAACGTGCGAGGTGTGGGCAATGGAGTCACCTCCATTGCTTCAAAGGCACCCGAGTCTTTGGAATGACCGGGTGCCTCAGCTGCCTTGGCAGCCGAGAGGGAATGCCCAGGAAGAGAAAGCTTCAACCTGGGCGTAGAGGACTGGAGTGGTTTCCCAGGGTTCCCAAGGGACACCTGGGTTGCCACGGATATCTTGGACGGTGCAGGTCCCCTGCTGGACACCGCCTCGGCAAAAGAGCCCCTCTGGAAAGCGGAAAGGCGACGCTTTGCATCCTGGTAGGTTATGTTCTCTTTAACCTTAAGTGAAAGGATTTCTTTTTCTTTTTTGAAGTGCTCACATGATCTGGAGTAGGCAGGATGGTTGCCACTGCAATTGGCACATTTGTTTTCAGCTTTGCAGCCATCAGCGGTATGGTCCCTGCCGCCACACCTGGCGCATGTCTCACGACCGCGGCAAGTGCGCGATCCGTGACCGTACCGCTGGTACCGAAAGCAGCCGAGTGGATTTGGGACGTAAGGTCGCACCTTGCAATTGATGTAGCCTGCCTTAATAGACGGAGGCAAAGTGTGCCTCTCGAAGGTCAAAACGACATGTTTAGTGGGTCGTTCCTCACCATCTCGACGGATTGTGATGCGCTTTGCAGCAACAACTCCTTGGGATTGCAGGCCTTCTACAATTTCTTCCTCGGTACTGTCTATCAAATCGTCTTCCGAGATCACATCGCGGATGGTGTTCAGTGTTCGATGGGCTGACACTGTCACTTTGAGATCGTGGATTGCTTGGAGATTCATTAAAGCAGTAGCTTGGTATTTCTCATAAACCTCCACAAGAAGGTCACCTGAGAAGAGATTTTTGGCGTTATACTTCTCTCCTAGCGTGCCTTGAAGCACTTTGGCGACAAGGAACGGAGGTATTTTTGAAAGTGGTTTTGATGCATCGTCAGAGTGGAGAACAAAAAATCTTATAAAATGGTCATTTACATTGTCAGTGGAGAGAAATGTTGGCAGTGCTTCGGTGCGGGTCCTTTTCAGGGCCCGATCAGGTAGTTTAGTTTTGGTACCCATAAAGATGGGAAAGAAAGTTCAGTGCCCGGGTGCACCGCCCACCACGGAGCCCAACAGGGGGGTAGGTAATGTGCCATAACAAGAAAGGCTTGGCTGACACAATTACTCTACCAGTGCTGCCCGGGCACTATAACCGACTGTGGATGCAGGGACAGGACCTGTTTCCACTCAAGGTTAGCCCTTGCCGCCTAAGAAGGTGAAAAAGGAAGGAAGAGAGTGCAGAAGAAAAGAGAAAGAGGTGGAAGGAAAAGTGAAAGAAGGAAGAAGAGGGTAGAAGAGGCGACTGACTGAATCATCCTGGTCGGGCGAAGCCAAGACACCCGTCTACGAGAAGCAGGGGTCGAAGCAGTGTATTGCCTCGCCCGGGGGGCCCCGAAGTGTCCAAACATACCCCGGGCTCAGCTCAACCACCAGGGTCCCCTTTTCTCCGGACACGGGTACGCCACGCACAGCCAGACGTGGATGGGCGAACCCACATGGCTCGGGGTTCGTAGTGACGCCACTCACCAAGCACCTACGAAAGTAGGTGCCCCCTGCGTGCGGGTATGGTGGCCCACGTGGCTGGGGTCCGTGGTGACGCTACTCACCAAGCACCTAGGACCTAAGGTGCAGGTGCCCCCTGCGGGGCTCGGGGTCCGTGGAGACGCCACTCTCCAAACACCTGCTTTCACAGCTGCCCCCTGCGGGGAAGTACTTCTTGTGCTACCGCGTGTCGTACCCTTGTTGTGACGCGGTTCCACACAATCAAGTCGTACCACGTAATTATGTGGCACGTCACGTGGTCAAGTGACGCCTTACCAAGTGACGATAAAATCGGCAAGTGCTGATTGTTGGGGAAGTTTGTACGGTACGTTAGAAAACATGATTGCGCTTTGAAGACGGGGACATAGGAAGGACACGGTTATGGCCAGAACATCTATTGGGTCAGAACATCCATCGAGTCAAAACATCCAAGAGGTCACGTGACACCAGAGTCAGAACATCCAACGAGTCAAGACATCCATCCGAGTCGAAACATCCATTAAGTCAAGACATCCATCGAGTCAGAACGTCCATCCGTGTCAAAACATCCATTGAGTCAAAATATCCATCGAGTCAGAACATCCATTAGAGTCGAAATATCCATCTGAGACAAAACATCCATCGAGTCAGAACATCCATCTGATTCAAAACATCCATCTGATTGAAAGCATTCTTATTTGAATTGAAAATAAAAACAAAAACTATATATACTATATGAATTTTTTCCGGCTCGAGACTGCGAATTTTGCAAAGTTCCAGGTGCGGGGACGCACTTGATCAAGCACCTTGGCCAGTGTGCTGGATGTAGGGTCCCTCGTGTTCGTGTTTATTTTTATTTTTTTATTTTTCATTTTTTTTGTCACTGAGTATATTTGGCTATTTGTCGTTTGCAGTTCCGACATTTCAGGATGTCCTTAGCTATCTGGACAGAATTACAATCCTTGGAGTTCTTCTGTAGAATGAACTGAACAGCATGCATGGCCCAGTTTCCTTGACTAAAACTGTTTGAATGCCTCACGATGTCTCGATGTCTTATTCAACCATATGACTTTGTGGGAACGATATGCACTACGTTGCGTCTGGTAGTAGTAATCGGGACAACAATTAGTGTAGAGACACTACGACGGGGTCCAAATACCTATTAAGTTATAATACATGAAAAACAAAACTGTAAAATTTGTTCCACTAGTGCTTTTGTAATTGAAAAACTACTACATACAATTCAGCGAATCCATGTAGAGTGCTTTGTACGAGAGTGACACTAGCTTAAAATAAGAAACACGAAATAAAGTTACGATTCTCTCGGAATAACGTTATTGATCACTGCGAACGACTGCGACAAGAGTGTATTGAAAAAATTCAGAGGCTTTACACGAAATTTAAAGTAATTGACTGGCGAGGTGAAATTAATTTTTCTGAACGGCTTACGTCGTCTAATTCACCGACAACAGTATTTTGGTCCCTCAAGCAATTGCCCAGACTCGGAGCCAGCCCATCGAGTGCTCTGCTGCTACCGAAAGAAAACAAAAAACTGTTTACTTTCGAATTAATGCGGCGAAGCAAAATACTTTAAAAAAAAAAGCCATTCTGTCTTGAAAAATGTTTCACCATCATAAGCTTGATAGTGCTCTAACTTTTCGTGTGAAAATCAAGATCATTCTTTTCATTTGGATGATTTTTATCACGTTGCTTTTGAATTAATTGCTAAAATTTATTACCCCACATTGCCTGGAAAAAATAGTTGTTTTCTTTGCGAATCTTTTAGGAACGGATTGACATACACCAAGCTAAAATATAAAAAAAAAAAATGTCCGTCAGACTGGTTTCTTCCAAAGCCGATATAAATACCTAGCACTTTTATATGGATT